TTGAACCCAAAGTTTACCTTTATCATATACATGTATTTATGGTCATTTTTTTTTTCTCCAGGGGCAGGTTTGGTTGAAGGACAAAGAGGCTACACATTGCAAGTTATGTGAAAAGGAATTCTCACTTTCCAAAAGGAAGGTAAAACTCAAATGAAATTTCTTCCAGCTCATTTATGTGTAGTATGAGAAATATGTCAGTTATCTTACAGATGAGATCAGCGTGAAATGTCAACCTTCAGATGAATGTATAGGTATTCTTTGAGACGTGCTACTCATATCAAAGAACAACTGGGCTCTACTTTCAAAAGAAATGTTGCTTGTTTAGTGTAGTGCTGTGGAGGACTGTACTTAAAGTTACTCAACCAACCTTGTGGAATCATTGTCTCATGTACTTGGCAGCAGTTCCGCCATTAAAATTTGACACATGGAAGTCTTAGTACATTTTTTTTTTTTTAAATATATATTTGACTTAAGAAATTATGAGCTTATTGGGGCTTTAAAGCAGTGTTAATTGTTAAGCTTTATTAACATGTGCAGAAATTTTTATTTCACCTACTTCTTATGTTAAATTTTAAGAGCTGCTTGACAGACTCTCATCCATTGTCATTGTTTATATTCTTACTTGGCAAAGCACGTTAGTTTGTCTTATTCTAGGGATTCAAACCTTGTATGTTTGGTCTGTCTAGGATAGCACCATAAATTTGGGTTTAGATGAATTATCTCTTGAAAACTGGTTCCGTGCCCAGACCAAACGATTGGAAAGAATTCAGATTGTTCTCTGTGTGATTTATTGATACCCAATTACCAAGTATATTTCTGCTGTAAATTTTGATTTTGTGATTCTTTTTTTTCTGCTCTTCTCCCTGTTATTTAGCACCATTGTAGAAACTGTGGTGAGATCTTCTGTAATGCTTGTTCCGACAATGAACTGCCTCTGCCTTCCTCACCAAAGCCTGTTCGTGTCTGTGATTCCTGCCATGCAATCCTTATACAGAGGTGCTCTTCTAATGTGCCCTAAGATTATTTTACAAGTTATTACCCTGTGTATTTAGCTAATTCTGTAAAACAAAACAAACAAGAACCAGCTACAGAATGTACAGCACTACTTCTGTTGATACAAATAGAGAGGACGGGACCCAAAACCACAAAATGCATGTCTTAAAAATGAACATGTTAAAATTACAGATTGCAGTATTAGTCTAACAAATGACTTGGAAGCTCTTCTGGAGGAAGGAAGGGCAGTTTATAGAGGAGATTCAGTGTTAATAGGTATCTTAGTCATTATGATCTTGAGAAGGGTGACTTATTTACCTGCTTTTACAGGCCAGTCCAACTGAACTGTGATGTAAAATTTGCCTGTAGTATGCTGCTCTGAAGCAAAATGGAAGTAATGGTTTTAAACTGTACTTTAACGTAAGGAAAGAAATTAATGGAGGTGGCCCAGTAAATTATTGCCAAATATCTTTGTCATTTGCTTCCTCTCAGTTATCAAGATTTGATACCTCCAAGAATATTGCACTGACAATTCTATAGTCGGAGGAGTAGAGGGAGATGGTGTCAGATAGGTGAGAAACTGTGTCCTTAGGCACTGGGAGAAAGGGGGTGCATTTTGCCAAATTATTTTGCAAAATTAGCTATTAATTTGACCTTATCAGTGTTGTCATGGAGAGATGTCCATCCTATTTTTTTATGCCTTATGTTGTCTGTAGCCTCAAGGAAGTGTCTTTGTATTATTTTCAGGAAAGTCATGCTTAGCTCTAGAGCAGCATCAGCCTGCTGCCAAGAGACACTAAAAGCTGTGGACCGTGTCCTTTGTGTGGTGCCTGTGTTGGACCAGAAAGTTTGTCTTTTTGTTGCCTTATTTCTCTAAGGTCAGTTTGTTCCTAAACATTTTCTTTTTTTCCAGAGAGCTTTTGAGTTCTGCTAGGTCTGACACATCCCACCACTGTTCATGTTGATGTTCCATGGTAACTTCTGCTGGAATGTACATCTCAGTTCTTCTAGTAGCCAAATAAAAATACAGCCTTTGATGGGTTGTATGTAGCAGCAGCTCTCGCTGTCGTGTCACTGCTCTAGAATCAACCTGCCCTCTGCCCTTCAGCCCTTCTTGTGAATGGGTCCAGCCATGGAATTTCCACTCTGGTCAGTACTGGTAAGCAGTTAGCAGAAATCAGCTGTAGTTCATTTATGGGCCTGGATTCCTACTGACAGGAGCACGGCAGCTTGGAAACAGGTCTTTCTTTTAGTCATTCTTGCACTTTGTTTAGCTTAGCTGTGTCTTTTGAGGATTGGTATTTAGCTAATATTCCAAGAGCTAACTAACTGTTCTTTTTGACACGTCAGTGTAGTTGCTTACGTAGCCTTTGTAAAAAAAAAAAAAAAAAAAAAAAAAAAAAAGTTTTTAAAATGATCTAGTATAACTTTTTTGTAAAATACAAATGTTTGTAAATGTGTAAATAGCTTTTAGAAAAAAATAAATTTAATTGATCTTCAATGTAATGTTGGGAGTAATGTCTCTTTATTTAAATTTGCATTGCAGAGTACTTTGAATGTTTTATTGACTTGCTCACACTGCTTGAAAAGTCTCTGCCTTTGTTGGGCAATGGGGAAGCTGCCCTGCTAATTATGTAAGGAAATGCTGCTTGCTTGCTTCATTAAGGTACTCTGATCTAAGAGTGTTTTGAAGTGTTGTGTTGTTTTTTTGTGGGCCCAGTATGAAGGCAAACTGATGTAGGATATAGAGCATGCCTGTCAGTCCTGCTTCAGTATCTTTTCAAAAATTATGCAACTGAACAAATACAATTTAAAATGGGCAATTGTTTAAAATAAGAATATAGTGCAGTTACTGCCAGTGCTGAAATTTTTGTAATATACAGATGCAGTCAATTATCTACTGCCTAACTATGAATTCTTCCATTCCTCTGTACTACACTGTTTACGTGGAAAAATGTCACTGAATGGCATATAACCTACTTAGACTGCTTTTATTTGAGAGGAATTGCTGCCTTGAACAAAATGGTGAATGCTGTATACTGTTCCAGGTGGCATCCAGGTTTCCTTTGGCATCAAACTATGTATCTAGCCCACTTTCAGCAGGTTTTTGGACCACGCTACCATTACTCCATTAGTAGTGTAATAATTTTGTCTTTCTATAAAACTTTATTCTGTGACAGATTATCTTGTGATTCTAAATAATATTCCTTGAGCCAAGCATATGAAGGTATGCGGTGTACCTAATGTGTACCTCAAAAGAAATTGTGATCGTTCCCACAGCATCAGAGCAACCTTTGGGTAATTTCCTTCTAACTTAACAATATAAGGGCATTAACAAATAGAAAATATGCTTCTCCTTTCTCCCCCCCTCCCCCCCACTGATTATACTGGCTGTCTCACCTTCTTGCAAAGGTGGTTAACATACTTGGACCTCCTTCTCTGACAGCGAAGGAAAATCCATCTGATGGCCAGCATTCATCACACAAGAGATTGCAGGAACCAGTCAGTACTTCTCAGTGGATAACCAACCACTTTAAAAGAACTACACTTTGCAGCAAGTATTTCAGCTTTACATACAACAAGTATGAACTTCAAAAATCATTTTTTTTCTTCTCAGAACACTGCTGAAGTTCCTTGAAAGGGTCCATACTGTATGCTGCTCTCGTTACAGGATTGTGTAAACAGGGATTGGACAAGCATAAGGCATTCACTCTCCAGAACAGAATTGTGTTATTCAAGAGTCATTCAGAATGACTTCTGGTAACTTACTTGGTGATGCCAAATAGCTTGAAGTGCAACTACTTTGTTCTCAGGTATGTCAGTCTTAAATCAATAGTAAGTGTTCTTTCTCAGAAAACAGAATGCAAAGTATACTTGAGGAATTATTAGAGCTGTGATACCTATTTAGGTAGCTGATAGAGAAATCTGTCAGATGTAAAGGTATTTTTTCCTGCACCATCACTGCTAGGCTGACTTCAAGTCATCTTTCCTCCCCTTCCTCTGCCCCATACTTGAGTATTTGGAATATTTCCTACTGCAGATGAGCCCTGCTGCTATTACTTCCAATAACATTGACACAAGCACACTCTCTAGTGAAATAAACTCCATTCTACTATCTCCCAGAGCAAGACATTTATTACATATATAACACAGTACTAGCAAAACAGGTGACAGACTTTCAATACCCAAGATTACATTTGACATTTTAAGGGAGGCGTTGAGGACAAAGCAGTTAATTTGGGAGATCACACTGGCTCAGAAGAATAAATACCTTATTACACATCAGGTATGGTAAGTGTCTTCAAACATTTTTTCTTACACATCTTACATGTCACAAATGCACAAAAACTGTTTTTCAATGTGGTTGGGGTTGTGTCACTTCACAAATATTGGGCTTACAGTTGTTTTCAGAGATGCCTGGCTTCTACCAAATTCATTCATATAATGGTTGCCATGTTTTGAACAAATACAGACAAACCAGCTCTGTGCAGGGAAAAAAAGAAAGCTCAATGGTGTTGAAAGACAAGTGTTAGGAAAATTCTAGCTTGCTTCAAATAATTGTCTTCCCAAAGCAGTTTGTGAAGAAAAAAAGCAAAGGTACCTTTCAACTTGCTAGCATTTGACTGTTTTGCTAGTGTTTGATTAGCAACAGCGTTGCAAGTTAAACGTGTGAAATGAGTATCTAAGAGTTCTACAGCAAAGCACGGAAGCAAACAGTTGTAGCCTGGGTGTGTGGATGACAGAACTTGGGAAGTATGCATTTGTGCAATCGCGCCATTTGCAGAGCATTGCTGATACTACAGGGAGGAAAGCCAGATCTATGACTCCTCCACAGCTTGAGCTTAATGCTATGTTGAGAAATTACTACATACAACTTATCAAAAAGATTTAGGAAGGATTGCTACCAAGTAAGCTTACCTACTATCTACCCTTTTCCCCTTAAACAAGAGAATGTATCAAACTCATTTACTACACCAAGAGTACATAGAACTCAGTGTTCATAGGAGTTACAGTACAACCACCTTTATTGAACCATAGTACAACATCTCAAACCAATTGTATTCTTGAATATGTAATACATCCTTAGGAGTAACTAGTATAAAAAGTATCAACATCAGTGGTTTGAATATAAAAATTTATTTAAAGTCAGAGTATGCAACAAATAAAACCTACAGAAAACAGATTTTCCCATCACAAGCTCTTGCTTACCAAATAATATTGTGAAAACACATTCCTTCAGTCATTATAAAGTTCTTAAAATACAAAAGAAATTAAAATTTTGTAAGAAAGTCTAGTAGACCAGAGACTGTTGTTTCTTCCAGGGTATTTTGTAGAAGCAAGGCTATCCTTCAATACATCCCACGCCATCCTCCTCCACCCATATTGCCTTGCCCATAGTATCCTCCACTATTTCCACTGCCACGACCTGCAAACAATTGACACAAGGTCACGTATACATACCTTAAAAAGAGAAAAAAACGTGATGGGTAATAAAAAACTGTTCAGCATCAGCTTAAGATATACTTCAGCACTATTTTTCTAAAAAAATATTTGTTGCAATAGCCAAATTATGAAAAAGTGCCCCAGTGATTTACTATTTAAGCCACCCCCTTTCCTTTCTCCCAGCCCACAAAACCCACCCTTCCAAATCACATACACACAGACACAGTAACACAATCACAAAGACAATCATAGCACAATCATTAGGACAGAATATCTACTTACTGTAGCCCCCCAAGCCATCAGGAGTTCCATAACCGCCGCTGTAATTGTTACCCATTCCCATTCTACCAACAGAGCCATAACCTTGATCTGAAAAGCAGAAGGTGCACTGTTACAACCTTGCAACTCCATCACGTTTTGCAGAACAAGCTGTATTTGGAAATGATACATACCCATTCCATCTCTGCCATAGCCTCCCATTCCAGAGCCACCTCCAGCAGTTGAATTCAGAAACAGCTCAATGTATCGATGTTCTGTAGGAAATAAAATCTACTCTCAAAAAACACAGTAAAAAAAAAGTTTATCCTGCATACAGTAGTTGGAGAAAAGAATTTGAGATGATCTACTTGTTCTGATCATCAACAAAAAGTCCATTATTAATACTATATTTAAAGCACTGTAACTTCAGTTTGAATCCTCCTACTGATTTACACCCTACTGAAATCAACTCAGTTAAACCCCCAGTTGAACACGACACTCACGCATGTGATTTTTATCCTTGGACATAGCAGCTACCGCATCCTCATGTGTTACAAATTCCACATCTGCCTCGCCTGTGGCTCTTCCATCTGCCCCAATATCGATGTGAACTCTTATAGGATTCAATGGTGAGAAGAACTAAGAATAAAAACAAAGAAAAAAAAAAAATCAAATGAATTTAGAATTCAAGCCAGGTATGTTTTCTGGCGCCCCAGTAGTTTGCAAGGCACTGTATTAATTTTCTCTCATCCTGTCACACAAATTTAATTACTTGCCTCTAAGGTATTACTTAGAGGTTTCTGTTATACAAATGGAAGAACTCCAGCTACAGAGCTTGACAAGCTCTCTTTAAAAAGAGATGCAAACAAAAATACTTGTCTACACACCTCTCTTTAAGAAACATGCTCTAATATGATGCCACCCTAGAAAGGGAAGATCATTACCTCGTTTTGAGGAAAAAAAAGCCAAACAAGGTTCTCAAAATAAGAAAAATTATGGAACTAAGAAGAAAAAGCTGTCAATTTCTCTTCCTACAGCAGTTATTAGAAAGATACAGTAGGCCATCATTCCTGAAATTCTGTAGAAGTCCTTTAATTGAGCTCTTATGGGTAAATGTGAGCCTTCCATTCTGAACAAACACAGCACCCTACAGGTTTCCCACCTTGTCTCCCTAAATCAAGACTCATGGCCACATACAAATGTGAAAACCATAATCACATCTACTATCAGTCTTCTACAAAATAAGATTAATATCTTCAGTTAAGCTTAAACTTTTGAGTCTTGTGAAGATACAAATTTCAACATCTGTCTCTTATTTCTGAAAATATAAAAGTATACAGGGGTTAAATGTAATTTGGGTGGCTTCTTCAGTAAGCTTACCACAGGCATTACCTTTAAAAACCTCACTAAGTATGTATTAAGTACTGTAGAACCTGCATAAGTAACTTAAGACTTTAGTTACTATGTATTAGAGCTATCACTCACTGGAGAGCCATAAGCAAGTTTGGAATAGGGAAGAACATAGAGATTCTTGGTATCAGAAAGCCTGATTTTGCTATTTTACTTACATTTGCAATATCGTTCTCTGTTGCTCGAAAAGGCAGTCCTCTCATGTGAACAAAATGACCGCCACCATGGAAACCTGAACCTGCATCTCCAGCTCCATAGCCATGTCCTCCCATGCCTAGGAAAGAAAGGTAAGTGAAGAACGACACACACACCCCTTTTTTTTTAAAAAAAAAAAAAAAAAAAAATAATTATAAAAAGAAAAGCACTCTCACCTCGACAAAACAAACACAATCATCTTCCTTTACAAAATAATATAAAGAAAATAAAAACAGAACTATGTATGCCTTGGGAATGTTATGTTTTACTGTTAAAAAAAATATTTTTTACCTCTCCCATCTCTCATTCGGTCATCATAGCCATCATTTCCATAGCCATAGTTATTATAACCACCATAATCATCAAAGCCACCATATCCTATACAATGGACAGAAGGAAAAGAGCAATTATGTTACTACTGAGAAATCACAAAGTGATACACAAGAGTCAATTTTTCAGTCTCTGGGCACCTGGAAGTGCCACTGCAAAGCATTAAACACTCATTTCTGAACTGACACATCCAACTGAGATATCCAATTCTGCTGAAAAAACAGTTTTCTAGTAACATCCATTACTCTTAAATACTAAGCTGCATTTTTTCTTCCCCAAAAAATTACAAGTAAAAAATTCCTTTTGAAGAGGCATGTCAAACCTAACGGGAAGCTACTGCCATTTCTTTATTTCTTGACAAAGACGTCAGAAACATGAAACTGACAACAGAACCTCTATCATTAGATAAACATACCACCGTCATATCCACCACCTCCTCGACGCATTCTGTCATACATACTTCCACGCCCAGCTCCATAATAACCCCCTCTTCCTCCTAATGGTCTATCATATGGTCCAGGCCGTTGTTGTCCCATCATTCTTCTCGGCATGTCAGAGAATCCTCTGATTTCACTCTTACTACTTTTGAAGATTTCAATGTATCTAAATAAGAGAGGATTTTCAAGGTAGAAATAAGAATACACGTACAAGCTGTCTGAACAGTAGAAAAATAACTAAACGTACAATGTGATAAAAATGACTACAGATACCATAGAACTTAAGTTCCTCCTCAAAACTGTTAAGAATCTTAATTGTATCAAAGTAAAACTTTACAACGGCAAAAAATTACAACATGAAAATTCTAGCTGTAGAAATTAAGTATAAAACATGTCTTTTCAGTATGAGAAACATACTGTTGAAAAACAATGTCTGGCTATGGCAGCACTTATCACAAATTACCCTACATGAAAAACGACTGAAACAACATTCTAAGTTTAGCAATCTACACAGAGTAATACTGTCTCCCCCGCCCCCCAAATCTACCGTATTTCCCCAGTTAATTTAGGATCAGTTATAAAAATTCTTTAAAATACCCCATTCCATATAATAGTCCCCAGCCCCCCAAAAGCATTACTGTCCCACAACCCCCAAAAATAACCATTTAACACCATCCCAAACTCTCCATCCCCACCTGTGCCCTATTCTTTCCTTGTGTTTCCCCAGAGCATTTTCTGCTATCTCCTTTGAAGCAAACTGCACGAAGGCCTCCCCTGTGCTTCTCCCCTGGTAGTCCAGCGTCAATGTTATCCCATTTGGCACGATTTCCAACCCTTTAACCCAAGGACAAATAACCCCATCAAGGGGAACAGTGTTAAAGGCTGAAACATTCCCATCTGTAGAAAATACTTAAAGCATCTAAACAATAACAACGAAAAAAAGCTCTTAAGTTCCCCCATCACCCAACAATACAAGCCAACGATCTTTCATTAAACATTTATGGATTTAGCCATACTTGTTTTTTGTTTTAACTATGTGAACATACACCCACCTAGGTTACATGAAGAAAACAAAGCTACCAATCAAGCAATTTAACCGCTCCAAACGCGTACAGGTTATAATCACAAGACATTCACCACCTTCACTAAATTAAGACATGTATTCAACTTTGCTACGTCTACAGTTATTTGAACAGGGCATACACCTTACTCAAGGCAATTTATGTCAAAGCAATCCCCCCTCCACCCCGCTAACGGCCATTACAAGTTACAGGCTTGCAAAGCATCGACTTATCTTTCACACAGTCTTTATGCTTTGACTATACTAGAGATACCTTGGAAAAACTGAACGATCTCTTCCTTGCTACAGCCGAAGGGCAGCCCTCGGAGCCGCACCACCGTTCCATCGTTGGTTGTATCGGTGGGCCCGTTGTGCTTTCCACTCCAGTCCATTTTTGTCTAAATCAAACGCTACCGAAAGGAAAAAACAAAACATTGAGACATAAAAACACAACAAATCGGGTAGGTTTTCATTAACAAAGCGGCGTTCGGCAGCATTATGGATATTTCGCTCAATTCCCTGGATATTTCAATTTCACTCGCTCGTACATAAGCACGTGGACGCGGCGGCCCCCGGCAGTGCAGCAGCGCGGGCATCGGCGGCGCGCACCAGCCGCTCGGCGCGCTCCCGGCCCGTAACCTTTTGTCTCTCGCGGCGTGCCGGCAGAGGGGCCGCAACCGCGCAGCGCTGCCTCTCCTTTGTCTGCCATCACGGCCCGGCCGGCCGCGCTCCCGCTCCTTTTCCCCTTCCGGAACCACGGCCGTTAATCCCAAACCAAAGCGGGAACGCAGCGCGGCCCGTCTCGGACTGGGGGCGGGGAGCTCTCTCCCTCCCTCCCCCCCCACCCGGCGCCGCCGCCATTTACCGCGCCTCCCCGAGCCACCCCCCCCACCGCCGACCGCCACGGACGCCGTCCCCGCCAAGCACCCCACCGCCACCTCTCCACTTCGGAACGACTGCCGAGCTCCCTCCTGCCCAACCCCGGCTTCGGGGTGCGGCAAGCGGTACGCCGCCGAGGCTCGTCGGGTCGGCGGCCGCGTTCAGCTCCGGCGCTCAAAATGGCGGCCGGTCGGGAGCGAGGCTCCGAGATCCGCGCCGCACCGCCCCTCCCCCACCCGCGGCGCCACGCCGCCCCCCCCACGGGCCGCGCCGCGCACACGGCCGGGCCCCGGGCCGCTTCCGCGCCCACCCTGCGAGCGGCCCGGAGGGGCTCGCCGCGGCCCGGTGCCGCCCTCTCTCCCTTTCTCACCCCGCGCTCACCGGGAGACCTTCGTACGCTCCTCGATGCGTCCCAGCGGGAGCTGCTGCCAGGAAGCAAGCCCCTCTCTTCCGAGCGGCCGGCGACCAGCAGCCTACGCAACCGCCGCTGGCAGGATGGCGTCCCGACCGCGCGGCTATCGCGATAGCACCGCCGCACACCTCCGCCCGCCCGGACGACAGCGGAGCATGCGCGCCTCTGCTAACAAGAGCCGGCGAACGGCGCCTCCTCCCTCTTCTCACGAGCGCGGCTGAGCGTCACCAGGCGCACGCGCGCTCCGTTCGCGCGCTGCGCTCTCTTGGCGCCAAGCCGTCCGCCCGGCGGCAGCGCGAGATGCAACAAATACCCGCAGCAGTCAGATACCCGCAGCAAACATTCTCGCAGCAGATAGATACCCGCACCGGACAGATACCCGTAGCAAACACATACCCGCAGCAAACAGCCGCAGCGAGTGCCCCCCAGTCTCCTCACGCAGGCGGTGCCTCGCGCGCAGATGCCTGTGGCCCGTCGGGCGCTGCTCGCTCCAGCTCCCGGAGTCGGCTCGGGAAAGGGGATGGGAAAGCCCGGCCGCTCTCTTCCCCTCAGTTTTAGGGCCGCGGCAAAGCCGTGCGATGTTAAGATCGGCCTGGGGAACCTCACCAGCTCCCGCCTGCGGAATCGCCTTGGGGCGAGGAGGCGGAAAGGCCCGTTGGGCCACCGAGGAGCGAGGGACGGAGTAGGGAGGTGCGCGCAGGGCCGGCGGCAGGCCGCGGGAGGAGGCTGGGAAGTGACGAGCGGCTCCTCCCGCCGTCGGGGCGCATAAACGGGGCCGCGCTGCGGGCAGGGCACCGTAGGGAGCAGCGGGCAAAGGCCGGGAGCGCTGCGGCGATGCAGGTCCCCCTTTTCACGGTTGATGCCTTTACAAACCGGCCGTTTTGTGGAAACCCCGCGGCAGTTTGTCTGCTCGAAAATGTAAGTCTGAAAAAGAAACGGACGGCTCTTCAATGAGGGGCTGCAGCGGTGGCTGCCATTGTTGCGAGGTTGCCTGGGGCTGCTGCCTCCAGGCAAGGCGTGCTTGTGCCGCTGCCCCGGGCGGAGCGGCTTAGCCGTTATAACGGGTTCTCCTTTTTCCTTCCCAACGAGGTGGGGTTTTTTTTGTTTCCTGTGAAAGAGAGGAGAGACGCGTACAGCCCTGTGACTGAGTCGCCTTGTGTCCCTGTGACAGGCAGGTTTTGCTGCAGGCTGCACGGTGCCTGTAGTGCAGTCATTCTCGTGAAGGTGTGCTGAGCAGATGGTGCTAATTGGTTTACCGCTCCCCAGAACCAGCTGTTAGACCAGATTAGAAACGTACATGTCTTGTCTTATTTGTGTGGTATCACTTGATAGGAATGGGAAGGTAAATGTAGTAGTCTGTTAGTGGTTCGCATTGGCCCTCTGAATCCTGCTCAGCTCTTCCTGAACCCTCACAGATCTCATACGATGGAGCATGCTTACCAAGACAGCCAAGTTGGCACAGTCTCGCTTCAGAGCTGTTTTTGGCTATCTAAAATCTAAACAAGCCCTCTCTGAATGCACTGACCTTCAACTTGTAAACTTATTATGTTAATACATTCAGAAGGTGACTTACGTGTTGCCTATGGCATGTTGAGATTTTAACGTTTCCTCTGCCGGCTAGAGGCTTCAGGGTCGTTAAAGATGAAGTTGTAATTAATTTTGTTCTGAGCTCCGAGAACATATGGAGCAGCTAGCGCTGCTTCTGTTCTCTGTTCCTTCCCAAGCCTCAGCAGCTGCTTTTTGAGAACTGGAGTACACGAGTGATGATACTAGCCCTTCCCGAGAAGTGCCACATGATGGCAGTATTTCAATAAAATTCTATTATTTTCAGCAAAATGTTGGCTGGTCTTTGTTCTAATTTGGTATTTCTGTAGCAAGTGCTAATTTCCTGGGTTAAAGCAAAGACTGTGAAGGGTCGGGGTGTTGTCTCATCGTGTAGGTTTCACCATGGAAGGATCGATCTGCTATGCCTATCACTAACTGTTCTGCAGCAATAGCAGGGGATCGTTGGTTCAAAGGATTAAGGTTATTGAGGGAAAAAAGTCAAGTTAGCAGGGCAAAGTTCGATCTGACCAAGGTTGAACTTGACCAGGTCCGCTTAGTACATTTTCATTTGTATGTTAGTTCTTTACAGACCAGACCCTTGAACCTGGCTGGTCTGTGTGACCAGGGGGAAAGGAACAAGAGTGAAGCAACAACTTATACTGTTGCTATACCTCGTGTGCCCTTCTATCATGCAGTGAGCTCCAGCATGTTTCTTCCTTCAGTTTCTTGTTCCAACTTTTACTGACTTAGCACATTGTTCCTGTTGCTCAAGGAGTAATGTTGAGGATACAGCAGTAAGTGCTGATAAAATGCCTTAGTTACTGTCCTGGCCATTGCGACATTCCCCCTGCTAACATGGGTTTCTCAGAGTTAAAAAGGAGAGCCGTAGCTATTTTTAGGTTGCTAGCAATGACTTCTTGTTGTGCCTTCAATCAGAATGAAAGATACGTCCTTCTGGAAGGACTGACTTTAGCATTTTGTAACTATCCCCCACATCGTTCAAGGATCTGTGGGCTTACAGACGAGATATGGGTAATGGCCACATACCACAGTGATTGAACTAGTTAGCCTATTCTGTGCTCCAAGGGTTTTTTGTATTTTTGCCCTCAAATGTTTTGAACTAAAAATGAATCTGCTTCATTATCACAGGAAAATGAGATGACTGAATTGATTTGAAAGACAGTTTGATTCTGTATTTTTATGAGTTGTCATTAAATGGGTTTGTCATCTCATTGTTAGGACTTGGATGAAAATTTGCACCAAAGAATTGCGACAGAAATGAACCTTTCCGAAACTGCCTTCATCAGAAAACTGCACCCTACGGATGACTTTACCAAAAGTGAGTGGCTTTGTTTGCCCTGCAGTCTCTTAGAAGAAGCAGGAAGAAACTATGGGTGCATTTATAAAGAATGATGCTAATGTATAAGATGGCAAAAGCAAAATTGTGGAGTTGTAATGCATCTTTTAATAATATTATTAAGCCTTTTGCACATGGATTCATTTGTTCAGCTTTTCCAATTCATTTTACAGTACACAAACATTATTCATAAATCTGATTGTTTGTTTTAGTGCCTTTTGCAAAATAAGCAGATTGTGTGCAGAAAGTCTCCTGAAAATGCTATGCAAAGGTCCTTCTGTTAATACTTCTATTCCTGCTAATTATCTCCTGAGATAATTCTCTTGTACAAGCAGGAGAAGAGAGACACAAAGCTTATTCTGTATGCGAAAGATTGCAAAGGGAATCTGGCTTGGCTGTTCAGGAAATCATCACTTACTGGAGATTGCCACAAAGTCTCAGTGATTCTGTAGAGGTGGTACTGGAACAAACAGGTTTCCAAAACCAAGGAACCTGAAATTGTACCTAGAGCCCATCCAGAATCACTTTGTGGATTAGTTTTCAGCCGAATCAGCTTGCTGAACCTGCTCACTTTGCAGCCATGGCTATAGCCTGGCTTTTCATTTTAGGTTAAGGTACTGTATTAGCATACTTGCTCTTAGATTTTATTTTTTAAACAACTGATAGCAATAGGATTTTTAGTAAAATGAAGGCTTACCATACTTTAGTCTTTCGTGAGTACCAACTGGTGGCTTAAGCAAAATAATTCATGACTGACTTAGCTGCGGTGCAGATTCCAGTACGCCAGCAAAACCCTTGTTTCACTTAGGGGGATAAAGGTTTGTTTTTGCACTTCTAAGCAGAGCGCTTTCTCTGCCGAGTTGACTCTTTGATCTTGTAACAAAGTAGCTTTCCTCTATTAGGAGTAGATCGCAGTTGTAGAGGGGTCTCGAGAGCTGTAGGTATTCCAAAAATCATCCAAAGGCAGTTGTAGGAGCCTTTGAGACCAAGACTGATTATAACATGCGTTTTGATTGACTGAAATGCCATTAATCCTTAGAAACTGTAGGAATAAATTGAAAAGAAAACACAATTCCACTTAAAAACAAACTTTATTTTTAAGGTTCCCGCTTTGGACTCCGATGGTTCACCCCGGCCAATGAAGTTCCTCTCTGTGGTCATGCTACACTTGCCTCAGCTGCTGTTTTATTTCACATAAAAAGTAAGCTTACAAGCTATTTGTTATTATAGTAGATGTTATAAAAATTGTTTCTAATTAAGAAAATCTCTCTTTTTGTACAATTAAGTCTTCAGAACATTTAGAGAACAAGTGTGGAGATACCTTAGGTATTTTCTTTTACCAAGTGCTGTCAGGCTGCAGTCTGATGTCTACACTTGTTCTGATGCCCCACTATCCTATCTCTCTTCCTAAGGAACAATGCTGAATATGCAAATATCATCTGGGAATTTTGCCTTGCAGTACAAGTTTACTGAACTTATTGGATTTTATCTGCATAACTTTTTTGAACATACTGGGCTACTTTATGAGCTATAATAATTTATTTCAAGCTCTTATGTTTGATACATACTGATATGTTTGATAATGTTCTCTCTCTCTCTAGAAAACCCAAACTCAGTTCTTACTTTTGTGACTCTGAGTGGGGAATTGAAAACAAGACAAGAGAAAGACCATATTGTGCTGGACTTACCGCTTTACTCAACCTACCCACAGGTGAGGCAGGGTTTTGTTCATAAAAGGTTTTCAAGGAAAGCATCTATTTGCTTGTATGTGTGTTTGGATACACATCTACCTATTTGTACTTGGGTAGATAGATACATGTAAGTACTCTATGATCTACAGCTTTCTTTTTTTCCTTTAGGAACTTCGGGAAGTAGAAGAATTAATAAAGGTAAATATAATGAGAGATGTTCTCTTAGAAATGCATTTAAATGAGCTATAATTGTATATTAGAAAGTGACTGGAAAGTGGTAAATTCACTTTGCTTGAGGCACTGTGCACGGAGGCTGAAAACTCTGAATCCTGTAGTTCAGGAGATGGAATACTTCAATATGCTATAGCTAAGCTTTGCCTTCTGCTGGCTAGAATGTCACATTTCATGGGCACTTTTGGCCTGCTGTATGCTTGTGAGGGCAACCTAGTGTCCTTGCCCTGTTCTTAGTCCCTGGATTTCTTTCCAGGTTGACATACACAGAGCTCTTAGCAACTATCGTATCCATTCATGCACACAGTGTATTTGCTTTTCTTGCTTGTACGTACTGGAAAGTTGCATGAAGGATGTTGCATAAGCCCTATTCTAGCAGGGATTTCGTTATTGTAGGAAAATTGTAAGTAAATATTTTATTTTCTAGTGACACTGTTTCTTTTTGTTTCTTTTTTTTTGTACCAGGCTGCCACTGGTGACATGATTGTTCAAGATCTCCGTTATTCTCCTGACACAAAGAAACTCCTGGTCCGTCTCAGTGATGCTTATGAAAGGTATCTGGTACTTTTTTGGAGCAAGTGTGCAGAAATTGATTCTTTTTGTTTAACCACTGTTCTTTACACACATGGCTCACTTATCTATTTTTGAAACAGGTGGAGATTGAAAACACAAATTTAAATTCCTATGTTAAATAATTCTTTAATCTTCCCTGTGAGCTTACGGAATCGGCAACGCTAAACAAGATTAGTCGGAAAAATGTCTTCAAGAAAGGGAGGCTTAGGAAACAGTTTTGGTGGTGGTGCCTTTTTGCCAATCTCCTGAGTCAAAAGTGGAACAGAAAACTGGGGGTCTTGGTTCTCAGCTGAAGAAGTATTAGTTGCATAGCTGTACAGGTGCACTTAGTGAGACAGGACGTGCAGACAGAATGCTGTGGGTTCCTATGCCCCTATGGCTGACTAATCTGCTTACACATACTTTACAGCATCATAAGTAGCTTTACAGAGGAAATTCCAATTCAAGTCATTTCGCAGCATTTGTTAATCTCGGAGACCTGAATTTCATTGTTATACTTAACAATTTGTATACATGTTGTCCAGACCTGAATTCTTTAATTCTTCCAAAATTTCATTTTTTAGGGAAATATCTGCAACTTACAGAATTGTAGAGTGCTTTAGAATTCTCTGATCTGAGTAATATAAACTGCTTGCTCATTCAGAAAGTAGGTGGAATGCTTATTGTTTGCATTCTGTAGTGATGAAATATTTTTTTCAGTAATGAAAAGGTTGACATGAAAGCATACATTTTTGGAGGTTATATTCTTGGGCACTCTGTTTTCATAAGTAGATAAGAAATGCATGGTTTGATCTTTTTTCCTCTGCTTGCTAGAAGTGTAGTATGTGTTCTGGGCAGTCATATAAAATGGCACTTTACTGTGGCTGTTCAGAGAGTGCAGGGATGACAATCTTAAGGTTTTTTGATGCTTTTCAAAACTTAAACTCGTGTTAAATGAAGAATATGGAATATTCAAATTCTGTAATTAAATTCAAGGTCTGTGCTGGAAGAACTACAAGTGGGTGCACAACGTTTTCTGTCAGCTGAAAAAACTGGGAAAGTGAAAGGACTCATACTCACTCTGAAGGGAAAGCCCAATGGAAACGACAAAGGCCATGATTTTTACTCCAGATATTTTGCACCTTGGTACGGCGTGCTGGAAGACCCTGTTACAGGTGTGTGAGCACATGCATGGGAAATGGCTTAGTCTTGTTTCAGTTTAAAGATGTTTATTGAACTTGATTCATGTGCCTTTATACTTCAAAGTATCTCTTCTAATGAAGTACTGTTTTCTGTGGACAGCAGGATAACTTTCCTTATTGATTCCAAACTCGTTTAGAAAAAGTCAGCTTCCTGCTGTCCTCAGGCCAGATATTCCTGCCTCTTTTTTCATTACTTTTTCCTGACATATTACAATTAGATGTCAACGGTTTGCGGGCTGGTTCGGCCCGGTTCCGTGACGAGCGGGGCGGAGGGATCCGCAGGTCCGCGCCTCCAGAAAAAAAGGAAACAGGGGACCCCAAAATAATTAAAAACAGCGGCACCGATCTGAGGAGAAACAAACTAATTTACTAAGTATATTATCAGAATGCAAGATAACACATTATAATACAATATAATCAGAATTGAAGCTAATAAATCAAATATAATGAGAGAGAGAATGTCCGAAAGGTGGATAGGCCTCACCACAACGCTGAGGTGAGATGCGCAGTCCAGTTGAGCTGCAGGGAGACGGGAGCAGCGCCCACCACGAAGGGCAGGTGAGAAAGAGCAATCAGGTGACCTTGCCAGGAGTTAAACCTCCTCTCCCTGACCACAAGGTCCCCTGGGGAATGTAGTTCTTCTTCTCTTCAGGGCAGGTACCCAGGACTTGAGCATTAACAGTTAAAGTCCCAGTGCCCCACATGATGTTATGATGTGGAATACCGAAAGCCCAAAATCACAAAACCATGACAATTAGAGAAAAGCAAAAGATTACTTGTGCAATTCAGCAAGTACTATAGAAGAAGTTCACATACACTTCTGTCATTGTTTTGTATTTGTGGTGCTTCAGCTGAGATCTCCTCTAGTTTAAGGACTCTTTACTGTGGGTGTTCTCAGCCCTATGAGTAATACAGACTTAGCTAGTTGTACTTTTAGAGGCAGAACTTCTAGTTTCTTTTATGTTCTGTGATGTTTGCTGCAGAATAAAGTAATGTTATTTGCTTATGCATAAAGTGATCACAGATTAATAATTAGTCCGCTGAGAACTTGATCAGAAAGTTTCATTACATATTTTGCTGAATAGAAAACTTCTTTATTGGAGTGGTGGTGGTTATAGTACACTTCTAGCAGAAGGTTTTATAAGGAAATATAAGCCACATGTTTCAGTTTTTCTTTTTTTTTTTTTTTTTAACTTCCAGTCCTACTTTTCTGTTACAGCCAGGAGGCAGAGTGGTAGATGTATCTGATCCCAGAGCTTGTTTATTATTGTTATATAGGAAAAGCTAGATGTTTGCTGAACCTTTGAGATTCTAGATTCCTTATAGCTCATAGTTGCTTGTCTTGCATCTGTAAGTTCTTTTATAGAAACAACCTCTTCACTGTATAGCTGATTTATACTTTTAACAGTGTTATGACTTTGTATTATCTTTCTTTTGCAATAATTCCTTAACCATTATATATCCTGGTGTCCCTGAGCCCTGATAATTACACTAGCTTCACATCTGGGTTTCCTGCAGAATGTCTTTGCTCATAGCAGCTGATTTGCACTGACACAACATGAATCTGAGAAGTCATTCTGGGGTTTTAAGATATCTGCCCATTGGGATACAGTAACTTGGTTTTCCAGAGGCTGTAGCAAGATCTTAAAAGATCTTGAGCTACGTCCTGATACTTAACAGTGATTCAAGACTGGGGGAAAAAAGAACAAACAGAGTTTTGTTTGTGAAAACTGTTAAGGGAGGGAGTTTTTTCTTTTTCCATAGTGACTTCTATCCACCTGTTCCTAGTCTTAAAAAATATTCAAAAATCGTTTCAGTTTTTTTTCTTGTGGTTTTTGCTATTTGTTCTATTGAATAACATACTGTCGAGGTAAATAATGTTACTGAATTTTAATGTTTTGAGATTCAGTTATTAGGAAAGCTCACTTGTTTATCAGAAGTCAATACTTTGGCTCAAATGTTATAACTTATACTATCTATTATTCCTGAGGCTAATTACAAAGCCCTTAGGCAAAATTTCCATTGGAGTTGGAAGATGAGGAAGTAATACTGCTTGATTGTAAACAAATGAAATGCAGAAGCCTTAAGTTCTGTTTGCTTTGCAAAATCTAGGCATTTTTACTCTTAAGTACAGACATGGGACATTCAATCTGTGTATGGCATTTGCATTTTGAAAGTAATCGCTCTATAAAATAGTGATTCTAATTCTGTGCTTTTTGTTCCAATTTCTTTTAAGGATCTGCCCATGCTGTTCTAAGCAGCTACTGGTCAGAGCAGCTGGGAAAGAAAGAAATGCTTGGTAAGAGGAACTGTTTTCTTGCAAAGCTGTTCATCTATTTAAAAAAACAAAAACAAAAAAACTACAATCCAAAATATTGTAATAACTCCTTATCTGTTTCTCAACTTCAATAGTAAAATTTTTTTCTGAGAGGTAATCCTTAAGAAACTGCTTTCTTTCCTACCTCCCGATGTGACACATTAAGTCTGTAGGGAATCTGAAGTATGTGGACCATAACTCTGTGCTTGGTTTTTGATCTCAACTTTTGTATTTTTACTGTCACGAACTTTCATCATGACTGAAGCTTGGTGAACTTTAGTTGATGTTCACTGTGTGTTTTGACTCAATTGTACTTTGCTTGTTGCTCCTTAGGGCTTGCTTTTTCTTATTGGGAAGAGGTATCAGTCACTATTCTCATTCACAATCTGTATACGTCTCAGTACAATGTAGAAGCATGGAATCATAGAATTTCCTGTGTTGGATGGGACCCATAGGGATCACTGAGTTTTCCTTTCCGTTCATGTATATGTTGAGATGAAAAAAATGGTTCTTTCTGAATTAGGGATTTTTAAAGGGAAATTAGTTACTCGAGATTAATTCCTTCAATGAGTTCTTTAGGAAACTCATGATTTAAAGTGGCTTGTATTTTTATAGCTAGATAAGAGGAGACGTGCATTCAGATTGTACTTAAAGGACATGCTTTATGGTACAGTTTTTTCTTCTGTCCTAAGATCAGTTTTCTCATATGATGATGTTTTACATAGTAGCAGGAAAGGATAGAACAAAAAGCAATCAATTAAAATGTATCTAATGTTAAATATTTAAATGGAAACAAGGTGCATAGGCACTGGCAACTTCATTTGCTTGTAATGAGTGTGATTTGCAGTTCTACTCTTGAGATGACCGGATCTTAAGTGAAAGAGCAGATTTATTATTGATAATTGTTTTGTCTTTGGAAAAGTTAGGCTTAGTGGATCACGTATTTACTGCTAAGCAAATAATGAAGACCGTGATGGGGGAAGAAAACCTGGGAGAAATGGTTACACTTGACAAGGCTAGATAGAGAGACATTGAGTGCTTCTTCACTTCTCATGTTTCTGTTGCTTTGCTAGAAAGTGGAAGAACAGAAGCAATGTGAAATACCCTCCTAACCCTCTGGTTCCCTTGCAGGGTGGTGATGTTGGTGTTGAAAATACTGTTCTTTTATGCGCTTGTTCTCAAAGACATGATTCTTGTCACTTAGTCTAAAACAAAAGTTGGATCCTTAATCTAATAGGATTCCTTGTTCCCTAAAGGAAACGTCTTTCAAAACGAACAGCTACCTTGAATATAAGCTTTCCTGTATTTAGCCAAATGAATCTGAGACCAAACTTTCCTTGACACTGATAAGCTCTTTAAAGGATCTGCTAGACCTCCATAGCTTGATGTGGTAATCCACAGTGACTGAGACTTTTCCATCACGAGTTGAAGGAAAAGTTTTGCAATCTGTTCTGAAGATCTCTTGCTTGCATTTGTATCATACAGATCTATTATGATTTCCACGAAGCTGCGGGGGGGGTGGGGGAGAGGGGAGGGAAACACCATACTTTTTGAAAAGAAGAGGGGAAGCTGTCTTTGTCATTGTATCCAGATGGACTGGCTGTTTGTCTTGAGATTATAGAATCATAGAATGGCTTGGGTTGGTAGAGACCCAAGGGCTCATCAGGTTCTGACCTCCTGCCATAGGCAGGGCCACCAACTTCAGACCTGGTACTAGAGCAGGTTGCCCAAGGCCCCATCCAACCAGGTCTTGAGCACCTCCAGGTGGTAGTGTGGAGATCAGAAACTTTCATCCCACTTGTAGACAGTGTTTCATTAAATAATCAGTCAGAAATTCTGTCTGCATTTTTAGGTGGCATTTTTTACTTTTATGTTTTCATGTATTTTACGTGTACCATGTTTTACCTCTTTTGAGAAACTGTCTTAAGCTGCAAAGGCAACTGATACAGTAACCATCTCCTCTAATATTTTTATTATTTATTTTATTTTTTATTAAAACAAAAAAAAAGTCCCATATTGCCACAAGGTAGGATTTTTTCATTTTTTGAAAATGACTATCACAGTCTAAAGGGCTACCTGGCAAGTAGGTGGATGGAGATCACAACAGTGGGTTTGTAGAATTTTATTACATACAAGGACACATTAGTTTTATTTCCTGTATTTTTCTACTTGAGTACAAATCACCTCCGAAGATTCTACCTATGATTAGTAATGCAACTGTATATCAACCTATTATGATTTCTTAACAAGAAAGAAAGTGCATGCATTTTGTGTATATGTGTGTGTATATATATATATATATATATATATATAAAAGATGAATATAGCAGCAGCAAATAATGTAGCAGCAAATACATACTGAGGTATTGCAGGTTATTAAAAATATCTCACTAGTCAAATAACAATAATGCTTACAATTAATTGCCTACATGTGCACATATATTTAAAATGTTACTGGTAGTGAGTGCTATCAAACCATTCCCAGAAGTGGGTGTCAAATAGACCTCAGAAGGGTCTAATTAAGAAGAGTTTACCCCCCACAAGTAGGATCATATAAATAATAGAGAGTCTCACTTTGAAGGCAATCACCTTTGTGTCATGGGCTTTTGGGGTCATTCCCAGCAAAGATTTGGTTTGTTTAGGAAATTCTCTAGGAAAAGGAAAAGTTTCTGCAACACAGGAACTACTCAAAGAGGCTCTGTTTTGCTTAGAAAATAAGAGATTTTAATATGACAGACACATGAGCGTACAGTTTAGGGTGTACAGTGCTGCTTGTTTATTTCCCCTGAGACAGCCAGTATAGCTTCCTATCCTCTCTGACATTTTGCTTTCTCCCCGCTTTTTTATCTTTTGGCTAAAGTGGCCAATACCAGTTGCTGATTCCTACTGTCCCAGGTTGGTGTCCCATTTCTCCTGACAATAATTTGCAATTACAGTTCCTTATTTTTCCATTATGGATGACTTTTTCAGGATGTCCACAGTTCTGAGGCATTCAGCCTCGGAAAAGCCAGCTGTGCCTTTCTAGGGGTGCTCCTGACTCACAAGCCTTGTTCTCAGGCTAGCTGTCATGGGCTATTTTTCCCATAATAGGCAAATATCTTTTATGACTGCTGCCATCAATGCATTGTTTTGTTGTTCTTTTTTTTTTTTTTTTTTTTAAAATATGTGTGGTAGAAATGATATAAAACAGATTTAAAGGGGACAAATTCATATGGCCTCTTATCAACCTGTGGTTTTTTTGGTAAGTTCAGAAAAATCTTTTCCTCCCATGTGCATGGAAGGTTATCAGGTAGTACTGGAGTGAATTCCATTTGTGATGTGGCTATTTAGAGAAGGTGGCAGTCAATATATCATTGAAGGTTGATAAGTTAAAGCATCTCTTGAGTACTTAGAAACTTCTGCAGTGTCTCTGCAGTATCTTTTATTGCAAGAATAAAGGTTTTCTTCCATTTAAAATTGAAAGTCTTTGAGTTCCAAAATAGATGAGATATGAAATTGTATACAAAAAAAAAAAAAAAAGAGGAACATTATATTTGTTATCAGCTCTTTCTGGGTATTGTGACCTCTAGGAGGAGGTCAGCTACATCTCTGCTGAAGTATCAGACATAATATCCTGTGTCTGGGTTCTCTTCCCATCTTTATTAAACCAAACTTCCAAACAACAAACTCTCAATAACTACAAAGAGAATTTTCCAGTCTTTTTACAAGGTGAGATACTTTACTCATTTTTCCTGGAGATATATATTTAAGATGTGTCAAATGGGAGTTTGCTATCAGTCTTTATCCTTTTCTTCATTTGAGGAATTCCTGAAATAGTATTAAATATGTTTTTAATAAAGATAATTTATAATGTCAGATATTTTAGACTTTCATAATTGCCATTGAATGTAGTATTTACACTAGTTAGCAGTTGTATCTGTATACAGTTTTTTGTGTATCTTTTATGTCATTTTGTGTATCTTTATGTCATTTATAAACATGCATAAGAAATTTAATACACCCAAACGTATTGTGAAAGATTTTCCAAATTTATTTGAAGAGAAGAGTTTTAATTCAGGGCAATTTTTAATGCTTGGTGAAGCTGGGGGGATCTTTCTGGACCTCTTTAATCCAGTTAACTAAATTAATGTGTGAATATAATTGCTTTTGTTGTTGCCTCTAACTTCTGTGATTGCTTCTGGGGTTTATGAGGAGTGGGAGGAAGCAGATCTTACTTGAACTGTAAGATCACCTTCTCAAAACATTTGCCAGAATTTCTTTCAACTTAAGGTCCTGTCTCTTAACGTTTTAGTCTCTTCCTTTTTTTTGTGAAGAAATTGCTTCATGAGATAGAATAAATCTACATTTGTTAGGTTTTTGCTCATTCAAAGATTCATGAAGTAGAGAGTTTTGCACAGTTATAATCACAGTTTTTAAATGATGAGATTAACTGGAAAGACAGACCAATAGAATTCACTGCTTTTTTTTTAGTATGTGTTCTTTTTCACTGGGCCGCATCAGATTTATGCACAAGTGCAGCATTTCTGCCAAAGGAGAGGTGTTTCACTCCATCAATCAGAAGATTTGTTGACCTTATTTTTTGGAATATAAGTCTCAGAGGTCTTAATTTCATTAAGTGATAATGAGTAAAGCCTAAGTACAAGGACTTTTTCCTCAATCCTTTTGTAAGCATTAGAGATTTGGTCAAAACAATGATGATTTCTAAAACCAGGTATTTTTTCAAGAATAGCACTTGTTCCTGATTTGTCATTATCATGACATCACAAATAAAATCCAGTAGTTCTCAAATTCTGTAACCAATGCTCATGTAAATGGGCCTAATCTAATAAGAGGCTCCTCAAAGCAATGGGTTGATGTTGGTGTGAGGTCACTGGCCCCCTTCTGAATGCTACATTACATGTAAGTGTGCTGAAGTTTTTTGTACATACTATTGAACTTTCCTCTATCTGAGGGTAATCACAAAGGAATTTAGGGCACTGAATTGAATTGCTGTAGATAATTTTTACAGATCATAACATACTGAAATAGCTGCATGATCCAAAACGCATCAGAGATGCTTGAATCTCTCTGAAGACATTGCTATTAAATGAAATCATCTGATTAATGAAATATTCCGTGCAGCTCTGCTTTCTTTCAGTCACAGTGTGGAATATCAGTGTTTCTGTGTGAGAGAAGGAGAAGATGATCAAATATTATTTACATACAGTCTTGAGCAAGATCTTTGTGGCTTTTTTCCTCTTATATTTTGCAGGGTTTTTTTTAAATAAAACAAAATGGAGCAAAATCAAATTAGTAAGTCTGCCATGAAAGAGACAGCACTGGTTCCACATTTAAAGAAGGAAAAACAAAATCTAACCAACCTCTAAGATCAGAAATCTTTTCTTTAGATCTGCTATCTCAAAGAAGTGGGAAAATTCAGCTGTGTATCTGTACTTGGCAATAGTAGTTCACCAAATTTAGTGTGGCATGGACCATTAACAGCCCAAAATATTATATTTGAAAGCATTTGTTCGTACATACATACTGCTCTTGTTAAAATCAATAACTGGTAATTCATTGAAGAGAAAAGACCAGGAAGCATCCATAGCAGTCATATAGCTCCTACTTGCACTGTTTTGGGACCCTTTGCTTAATCTAGGAATCTGATATCCTTGCATAAATAAGAGCTTTCTTGTCAACCGTGGCTAAGAAATGATCTGACAGTGTACAGCATATGTACCATCTGTTAGAGATCTCGTACACTGCCAGGATCCAAATACAATCTCTACCCTGTTATAAATTAGGATATCATGAGGATATCATGTTCCCTTTAGCTTTGAACAACTCTTGCAGCTGGAATTTCATTAGGTAGAGAGACTAAACATCAGTGAATTGTCATCCATTTGCAGCCTTTTACAAAAGCAAAACATTATGAAACTCTAACCTTTGCTAGATGCCATCCTAACCAGGCCGCTCTCTGACCAAGTAGTTCTGCAACTAACATTGGACTGACTGAAACAAGACTGCAGAGTCAGCATGCCAAGCATTATCTTCTCAACTGAGTATGACTAAAAACATTTTCCTTAAAAAAATTAGATTTATGATTATTTATCAGTGGAAAGCTTTTATCATTAAACTTTATCCAAGTGTATTAAATGATATATTCAGGATTATGTGAAGTTATAAATTTGTTCCTGTCTGTGTAAGACTTTTGTCTCAGTTTGTGACAGCTGAAGCAGCATCTGTATTTCTTTGCAGACTTTTTCTGCTGGTTACTTCAGTTTTACTTACTCATTAACCAAATGTGTTCTTAGAAGCTAGTGTCTAGTTCTAGTTCACTACCTGTGAAGTGATTCTTTCTTCTTAAGCAGATAATAATATTCTTCCTTCTTGTCTAGGGAAATGGTCTATCTCATGAGTGGGTACATTAGGACATTTTTAGATGTGCAAAGAAGACTCAGTTCATTACAACAGAGTAAACCAGCATCCTTCATTACTTGCTATTACATACCACTTTGTTCAGACTCTTATGTCGAATTCTAGTCTGAGATACAGAGACCGTGTTAGCCTGAATTTTCATGCATTTTATAAAAATTGATTTGTAATACTAAAGTTTTAACTCTGGATTCATGTTATTCTTGTTTCCATTCAGCTTTTCAATGTTCTCGACGTGGAGGAGAGTTGAAGATTTCACTTCATGATAATGGAAGAGTTGAAATTGCAGGGCAATTTGCTATTGTATTGAAAGGAAACTTGACTTTATGAAGAAACTGACACTAACAGTATCATGTATCACACCTTTATATTACTCATATTGTGTTGATTGTATCTTAGTTTTAGGCAGAGCGCTACCACTGTCCTCTAAAATCTTTGATTACTTATTGTCCATTTTTAAAAATTGCTTGAAAACGTTCACTTTTAATCTTGAAGATCCCTGGTATCATTTCCTTCACTTTCATGTCAGGATTTCATCTGTAAACTGATCTCAGAAATTGTCCAAGGACATCCCTCTTATTTTTCTGCTCTTAAATAATTCTTTTTTTCTTTTTTCCTTTTTTTTTCCCCAGTTTCCACATTAAAAGTCACTTGACCTTCTGGATTGATTTATAAACTTCTTTATGTGACAAAACAATCAAACTGACTATAGTCAGCTTCCTTTCTCTGCCACATATTGAAATGATTCTTCTGTTCATTAATTTACTTGAATTAAAACATGAAGAAAATACAAAAGGTTTGGAAATAGAGCTTTTTTTTATGAACAGTCCTTTTCATGGGTAAATGTAATTGCTGTGACTTACAGTTCTGCTTATTCAACACTTCACATTTATAATAAATTTAAGAGATTGGCATAGTGATACCCTGAAGACTGTTAAAAAATGGAAAAAAAGAAAATGTTATTGGTTACTGTAATGTCACTTACTTTTGAAGGACTGAGGATTTACTCATAAATTAAAAGTTTGTTCTCTAATATTCTTCAGTGAGCATGCTGATTCAGATGTCACTTTTTCCTTTACTGTTCTTATCTTTTTCTGGGTTTATTAGGAATACCTGAAGTAACTGAGTTACTCCAGCTGAAGTTCTGTTTTCCCTTTCAGATCACCTTTTTCCTAAACTTTGAATTAATTCCTTAATAGAGTCCAATCCCCTGCTGAAGCAGGTTCCCTACAGTGTGTTGCACAGGAAAGCATCCATGTGGGTTTTGATTATCTCCACAGAAGGAGACTCCACAACCTCTCTGGGCAGCCTGTTCCAGTGCTCTGTCATCCTCATAGTAAGGAAGATCTTTGTTGTGTTCAGATGGAGCTTCCCGCGTTCCAGTTTGTGCCCATTGCCCCTTGTCCTGTAGCTGGGCGTTGCTGAAAATAATCACAGAATCACCAAGGTTGGAAAAGACCTTCAAGATCATGCAGGCCAACCATCCACCTACCACCAGTAGTGCTCACTAAACCCTTTCCCTCAACACAAAATCCAAACGTTCCTTGAACACCTCCAGGGTTGGTGACTCCACCACCTCCCTGGGCAGCCCATTCCAGTGCCTGAAAATAATGTGCTGTGAATTCAAAGGCATTGTCACAGTGTGGGAACAGCTGAATCTTATATACAATCCTTTATAAATGCTGAAGAACTTAGTTGTGACAAATTATTGTAGTTACAGATATTTTGAATTTCAACACTTTTAACTCACTGAAGCCCAAGTATCTGGGGGCAAATAACAGAGTGAAAATCCTAGGATTTATTTAAAATATAAGTTCCTTGTTATTGTGACTGCACAGAACTTACTGAGTATGTGATTTAAATGCCACAAAGCTTGAGAACTAGGTGGCAAGCAAATCAACACATTGAAATGCATGTCTTCCTGTATTAAGGCTTGCTGAAGTTCAGGGACCTGATATACAATTTATAAACGTGGAGTCATTGTAGGCAAGGCACTGCAATGGAGACAGCTCAACAGCAGTGTCGCAGTGGCATGTTTTGCAGTCACCTTGATCTTGTCTTCTCATAAAGCAAATCACCACTTTCCATTTAGTGCCTTAAACCTCCTTGAGCCCTCCTGCAAGCTTGTTTTGCTGCATTTGCTCCTTTAGTCTGGTTTATAAAAGTGTGAGTCTAGTCCATTGTCTGAGATGCTTTCAAAAAAAACAACAACCCACCTCTTTAAGAATATAAATGATCTAAAACAGCAATTATTGTTCATCTGTTGACATTTAACAAATAGTACTTTTTTTCTTTCTTTCTTTTTTTTTTTTTTATTTTCCCAGGGGGTGCTAATAATGAACAAAGGCTGGAAAATTTTATATATCTCTGCTATCTAAATTTCCTGACTAAATGAATAAACTTGCTGCTTGATGCATTTTTTTTAATGGTTTACTACTACTTAGTCTCTTTCAGTTCTGGATAGAAAAATCACCAGAGCTCAGGTGGGATACTATGCCGTAATGTGTTTTTAATCAACAGATTAGTTAATCAGCCATGATTAATTAATGATGAATTAATTATACCTTATTGTGCAGTTCTGCTGCCTAAATTGAGCTTTAAAGGAGTTATTTTATTAATCATCATTGTGCTAATTGCAGACACTTACAGAAGGATCTCTAATTAAACATGCAGCCATATGCAAAGCAAGCAAGGCTGCTGAGAGTGGCAAGAAAAAGAGCATTGATTTTCTAAGTAGCAACTTTATTGTAATGAAATATTGTACAGTTGACCTGGTGATCCTAATTACTCACTAAGACTTATTTTAGCACATTGCACATTTTCAGTCAACGGTAAACAAAATTGTTGGAACAAATTTTGTCTGACTTTCCTAATGGAAAAAGTATATTGTGTGAACTTCAAACAGAATTAGTTAGAATTTGTGTGGTCTTGTTTCACATTTTCATTCAAAGTTTTTACCCAGTAGTTTTGCTAGTGATATATTGTTAATGAAACTTAACTGACTTAACTTTGAACAAGATTCTGGATGCTACTTGATAGTTGCTAGCTTACCATGGTGCTAGATGTAATGTTCATTGCACTTGAAATAAGTACTGAGACTCAAAGTTACGTGAGTTTTGCATCAGAAAGAGGAAATCTGAAATTTAAATTAATTTCTAGTAGCCAAATTTAGCATGGAAAAAGCAGAAAGGAGATGGTTTAAAGATGGGTTTCTGGGAAGAAAAGTCATCCTCAGCTTAAGCAGTGCGATTTGTAGATTGTTGTAACTCTACAAGATTTGGCTGCAAGAATTTCATGGAGATGCCATCATTGCGGACTTCCTTCTTTTTTATGCAAGTTGTTAGGTCTTTCACGTTAATTAAATACAATTTAATTGAAGAAACATTTTTGTTGGACTGACTATATAGTATGATTTAAATGATCAGTGTAAAACTCAAGTGTTTACTATACAAATTTCTGAAATAGGATCATTACAAGGCTCTCCATGTTTTGAATAAAGATCTAGCTGGATCCAGGAGTCAAGACATGAAAATTTCAGCGCACTTGCTCACTTCATTGTTGTGTGCTTCAGAAGCCCAGCTCATGTAGCAGATGGGAAAATGTACATGACTTAGAGGAAGGGAGCAGAATAAGAAAATAATCAATCAAACAATGGAAACTGTTAATCTGCTGCTATAGAAATGAAAGTACGGATAAAAGGGAAAAAAGAAAACCAGTTTTACATATAATAAGCCTTTTAACAGGTTTTCTTCAAGAATTAATGAAAATCCTTTGCATTTCTTCTGTGTTAACGGGGAGAAAATTGACTGCATCTATAAAAGCTTTTTCTGAAATTGGAAAATTTTGCTTGAAGTTGAAATAGAACATTTCACAATTGTATGCATAACAAGAGGCTGTAGACAGGAGCCATGTGTTCACAAGGAATAGGAAGGGAAATTAGCAACAGATGAGATGGTTATTTCTGGGAAATGAAAGATTTCTTTGTCTCAGTACTCATTAGAGTGACGAGGAAACATGCCAGGAACAGAGGGAACCTTCCCAGGAGAAGAAATGGAAAACAGAAGAAAATTGAGGGCGATGATGTATCAAATGAAAATTAAATTAGTTCAATTATTAACTGAGAAATACCCAAATTAAGCAGTTTGATTCTGACTTCAGGAACTTTTTACTAATTTGTGTTTGCAGAGGGGTAGATCTGTTTTAAATTCATTACCAATCTTGTACAAAAGGACAGAACAAAGAATTTTATTTTCTTTCATTGCTGAGTCAGTGTCCTTTCTTTAATTTCCTTATTTCCTTATTCCTTCTTCATTTTCCTTTATTTCCTTCATTTCCTAAAAGTTGCTGCAAACTCTACCTGTAAAGCTTCAAAAGAATGTGGACATAAAGTATCATCATCCTCAGTAGTAGGAATGTAGGAGAAAAATTGACTGGAGGTCAGTTGTAGCCTTTGATGTTTAGACTTAGCATCTAAAGCAGAGTACTGTAACTGAATTCTAAATGTTTCTAAATTCATTGGTTTCTGTAGAGAGAAATTAAATTTGATTGTTGTTTTTCCCTTACTCGTTGGCAAGATAGAACATCACCTGGTTACAGTGTTCTCAGCCATATATGGATAAGTTTTATGCACTTTCCAAGTGTTATGTGATTTTTTTTTTTTTTGTGATACTCTCAAACCAAAGAACCACTTTCCCATACATTATTTTTCTCCTGTTAAAAACTATATAGTATTGATAAAATACATTAAGCAAATAAGGCACAAGGCAGTTTCAAACATCTCAGTAACTGAGCAGAAGGAGGAACTTGTAGGGGATAAATTGAGTTTGTGAGGTGGAAAAGAATATATATCTCTGTATATAGACTACCATGTGAGCATAGTTAGAAGTCTTAGGCATATTCCCTGTGTCTGTTACTAGCTGAAGTTAATGATGCTCTGACTGTTTGGATGTTTGGGGAATATAGGCTGAGCAGAGCTGGATCGAACTGTGAGGTACAAGAAATCCAGAAACATGAATTTGAATGCAGGTGTTCTCTACTGGCCTATTGCTTACGCAGTTTGGATCCAAGCCAAAGGTGTGTTACTTGAGTGCCTATCAGCCAAGCTGAATTCAAGTGGGAAATTCCACTTGGCATTCTTGAATTTTTATTCTGTTTCAGAAAGATTCCTTTGTTCATAAATGTATTTATTATTTTATATATTCAGTTTATAGCCATAAACTGAAATAGATGACAATTATGATAATTTCTACGTCACCTTTCTGAACAAAAATCATTGTTTTAAAAACAGCTTTTTGGGCTTTAATAGATTTGTGTGTAGTGACTTTCTGAAAACACATTTGATTGATGCAGGCATTTAATGTTACAGTCTCCGTTCTTATCTGTGCTTTTAAGTAGCACGCTAACTGCAACTTTCAGAAACCTTAGCAGTTAATTGCATCAATAGATGAAGTCTGCTATTAATAACCAACTGCAGGCATTTTCTCAATAAAGTTACAATTTCAGCAGAAAAAAAAAAAAAAAAAAGATTAAAAGGAAACACCTGCTCCTGTAAATTACTCTGCTGCAGGTACCAACCCAGGAGACTCTGCAGATGGTTCTGTGTTTGCAAACCTGACCTCAGCACCCCTTCATCAATCTCTGACTGATTGATTCTTTCCAAAGTAGCGCACACCATATCCCAGGGTACTAGAAGACACCTTTGCATTATTCCCAGTCAGAATACCGACTAATTGGTACTTCTTTCCAATTTTAGAAGTTCTTAACAAAGGATTTTTTAGGATAAGTTCCTAAGGATAACTTAAGGATAAGTTGTCTCCTAAGCACCAACACTGACCGAAAGACAGCGAAATCAGACAGGTCCAGGAAGAATTACTGGGAGTCGTACTTTAAAAGTTAAAATCTTCTCTGATAACTGGGAGTATGTGTTAATTTGCTCTGTGCCCCAGGATTATGAAATAGACAAAAAACAAACAAACAAACAAAAAAAAATCTGGTGAAACACTGATCACTAAAATAGTACAGTATGAATTCATACCCTGCCAGACAAGAAAAAGAGAGGTCCTAGATTCTGTCTTTTTCTCTCTTTTCAGGTATCTTACTTCCCTTATTAGAGCCTGAGACTGATTATGCCAATTTTTTCTTAACTGAGACAAACTTTCTCACGTGTTACCCAGTGCGCACTTACCTAGAAGCCTTGTACAATTTATTGAGTCCAATGTAATCTTTACATCCATTTATCTTTGTAGAATTCATTAAATCCTTCCTGGAAAACAAAAAGGACACATGCTTGTGTTCCCCGTGCAGTCTCCTATGTTCCTATCATGTGCAAATCTCAGAGGAAGACAATGAATAACATAGTGGTGTGTTTTGGGTTTCAGTGATACCAGCAAAATTTGGCTTTGTTTCTTTTTCACTGAACACTTCAAATTTTACAGGTTTTTTAAATTTTCTGAATGACTTATTTGCACTTAATGGCTTAAAGAAGGAGTGTTCTTTCCCTAAAGAAGAAGATAGAGATAGCAGGAGAACTTGAGCTGTGAGCAGTTTGCCTGAATTCTTCATAGTTTCATATTTGTTGGATTGCTGTCTTGGATTTTTAGGTAATTTTGACTCTTTTCTGCATTTCATAGCTGCATAGATAGAAGACCACTATCTAAGTATCCTCGATACATTTCACAAAAGGTAACATTTCACAGGGAAATCTAGGTATTGAAGCTGGTATGTTGTGATTTATGTATAGCAGAAAGGCATCCAAATTTAGTATGAAAATGTAAGCTTATGAAGAATCTATTATATTGCTTGATAAACTGTATTGGAAATGTTTGCACTTCCTGGATAAGTTATATTTTGTGTTTTCTGTTCATAATTTTCCAACTTTGTCCTGAGCATGTTGGAACTTCTTGTTGGTTTGTCTGTTAGATTAAGCAGCCATTGCTCTAAAGCTTGTGTTCCTGACATTTTGATGTGTTAGAACTTGGCCTGGACAGTTTCCTGGTGTTGCATTATAAAAGAAAGACTAATTGTTTTAACTGACAGTACTTTTATTAAATGCACGTTTGTCAGCCAGTCTGGATTACAGAATTGTAGTTATTACCATCTTCAAACATTTCTTGAGCTATAAGGAAAACCAAAGTGATACATATCTTTTTGATTCTCGATGGCATATGAAGAAGACCAGCTTCTCCAGTAGAAATGTGGCTGCCTTACTGCATTTTTTATGTTAGGAATTGAAGTCCACAAGTAGGTGATGATATATGCAATTGAATGAACACAATTATTTGTACATTTCAAAGCACACATATTTAGCAGAAGTGGCTGCGTATATTGTAGATTTTTTTTCTATTTGAAATTTCCACTGTGATATTAATTAAGGCTGAGGAAACTTCCTGAACTTGGAATTTGGATCATTCAAGAGAA